TTAATTAAAAACTGCGAAAACGTTATTTCATTTTTCGGAGTGGGCAACCGTCTCGGAATTAGCTGAGATAAAATTGCTTTTTCGAAAGCGCCGGGGGGATGATGACAATTGCTTCCGCTCGAGATTTGTGCTGGCGAAAGGTCACGTGTCAATTTCTTTTTTCTTAAATATCTATGGAACGGCGCTGAGTTGGAATTCGAGGCAGGTGTCTGCGGATTCCAAAAAATTCTACGAATCCAATGATACCATTCTCATCTTCGTAGGACGTTAATCAGCTGAGATATTAATTAAAAACTGTGAAAACGCTAATTTTCGGGCTCATTTTTCCGATTGCAACAGTTTCTTGAATCGCCGCAGATACAAATCAAGGTTATATTCTAAAGTTGAATAAAGCACGCGATTGCATGTTACCTAACTGTATTTTAAAAATATTTCGTTAATGTAGGCATTTTAAATAAACAGCTGCTTTTCACAATTTTTTTTTTAATTTCAGGTTAGGATGATTGTCACGTTAATTCTTTTATTGATATTGAATAAAAGTTATTATATTACATTAAATTTAAATGATGACGTTCTTGAAGTTGTACAACTTTAATCAGCTGGGATATTAATTAAAAAATCTGAAAAAGCTATTTTTTAAAAAATATGTTGTTATTTTTTTAATAATAAATTTGATTTTTTGGAATAATATATTTTTTTATGTTATTAGATACGTGCACTTAATTTAGATATTATCTTTTAATGCAAATGATATTTTAAATAAGTTCGCACCAATAAAAATTAAATTCACACTTTTTTTTTTTTTTTTTTTTTTAGATTAAAGATTTTTCTTTGCTCCTTTGAGATGGTATACGGTAACTTTCGAATCCCGGTGAGCAGGCAGGCTACACTCATGTTTTTTGTGATTTTACGCATATCTGTTGTGTATGCAGTGTCTTCTGGATGCATAAATGAATAAAGCTGAACTCTGGTAGTTCGGTCCTAATTTCGAATCCCGGCGAACGGGCTGGGTCCATGGGTGTTTGCGTGATTTTACGCATGTGCCTCGTGTACGCAGCATCTTCTGGATGCATAAGTGAATAAAGCGGCCGCCGAAATTCGCTCAAAACCTCTGATTACTGGTAGTTCGGTCCAACTTTCGAATCCAAGCGACCGTGTTGGCTCAATGTGTGTTTTCGGGATTTTTCGCATGTGTAACGTGTATGCGGTATCTTCTGCATGCATACTTGAATAAAGCGGGAGCAGCAGCCCGCGCAAAACTACAGAACACTGGTAGTTCGGTCCAACTTTCGAATTCCGGGGTACTGTACATAAAATTTGGTCGCATACGTGAATACAGCGCGCGGATACCGGGTAAAACCGCTGAACACTGGTAGTTCGGTCAAACATTCGAATCTCTGCGAGCGGGCTGGCTGCATGGGTGTTTTCCTGATTTTCCGCATGTGTATAGTGTATAAAGTGATTTCTGGATGCATATGTGATAAAAGTGGGCGCAGCCTGCTCAAAACCTCTTAACGCTGGTAGTTCGATCCAACTTTCGGTGTCGGCGAACGAGCTGGCTCCCCGGGTGTTTTCTTGCTTTAACTCATGTGTATCGTTTATGCAGTATCCTCTCCATGCTTATGTGTATAAAGCGGGCGCAGCCCGCTCCACAAAATCGCTGAACACTGGTATTTCGGTCCTACTTTCGAATTCCGGGGTACTGTATATAAAATTTGGATGCATACGTGAATACAGCGCGCGGATACCGGGTAAAACCGCTGAACACTGGTAGTTCGCTCAAACTTTCGAATCTCGGCGAGCGGGCTGGCTGCATGGGTGTTTTCGTGATTGTTCGCATGTGTATCGTTTATAAAGTATCTCATGGATGCATACGTGAATAAAGCGGGCACAGAATACTGGTAATGCGGTAATTTCGAATCCCGACGAACTGGCTGGCTCCATGGGTGTTTTCGTGATTTTACGCATGTGTATAGTGTATGGAGTATCTTCTGGGTGTATATGTGAATAAAGCGGGCAGAGCCCGCGCAAAGCCACATAACACTGGTAATTCGGTCCAACTTTCGAATACCGGCGAACAGGCAGGCTCCATGTTTGTTTTCGTGATTTTACGCATGTGTATCGTTTATGCACCATCTTCAGCATGCATACGTGAATAAAGCGGGCACAGCACGCGCAAAATCGCTGAAAAATTGTATTTCGGTCCAACTTTCGAATCGGCAGCGGGCTGGCTGGAGGGGTGTTTTCGTGATTTTACGCATGTGTACGGTGTGTACGCAGTATCTTTTGCATGCACACGTGAACACTGTTTTGGGCGGGCTCCCGCCCAAAAGCGCTGAACACTGGTATTTCGGTCCAAATTTCGAATACCCGCGAAAGGGCTGGAAGCATGGGTGTTTTCGTGATTTTCCGCATATGTATAGTGTATGCGGTAACTTCTGGATGCATAGGTGAAAAAAAAAAAAGCGGGGGAAGCCCGCGGAATGCCGCTAAAAAATGGTAGTTTCGGTTCAACTTTTCAATACCGGCCAAATTTAACATAGGATATCTTTTAAAAACGAACAATGATAAGCGGGCTTCAGCCCGCTCAGCTGGCGGGCTTGCCCGCTAGTCTATATACTATTAAAATCTGTGTGCCTCTGTCTGTTTGTGTGTTTGTAACATCATCTTCTCGGGAACGGCTGGGTGTAGAGCTTAGCGGAAGGTACCGTTGGATTCAGAATTCCCGTGGCTCGCCATATTGACCATCGGCATCTTCGTGCGACTTTAATTAGCCGAGATATTAATTAAAAACTGATTTTTCCCCTACGTTTCCCTACGTTTTGCACTTTCTTTCACGGGTTTCCCCTATTTTAGGGATTTGGCCGAGTGCCAAATTCGTTTTTCTCGAATATCTGCGGAACGGCGCCGAGTTGGAATTCGAAACGCATATCTCCGGATTCGAAAAAAATCAACAAATCCATCGATACCGGTCCCATCTTCGTACGACAATAATCGGCGGAGTCGGAGTTATTAATTAAAAACTGCGAAAACAATAATTTCGGCACTCAGTCTTCCGAGTGGCAACAGTCTCGGCAGTCGTCGGAGATAAAAATGCTATGGGAACGCCAAGGCCGTTCGCCACTAACAAACTAAGAATAAAAAATTAAAATAACTTAAAGGAATAAACTGAAAAGCTAAAATAAAACTAAAAATAGAAACATTCTCTTCATTTAGTTGTCGTTAGTTGAATGTAGATTGGTTTATGCCCTTGATAAGTCGAGTAAATGACGTCATAGATAAAATAAAAAGTTTTGTTTCCCGGTCTGGCAACAGATCAAATAGAATCAAAAGTTTAGTTTCCTGGTTTGGCAACAAAAAATTTATTTACGAATTTTGGATTTGGAAGGAGACCGTCGCAATTTTTTCCAGCATTTCAAATTTCGTAAATATTCTTATTATTACTCATTGCACTTAATCTTTATTTCTTTTTACAGGATATTTGATTGTTTTTTGCATTTATATTTGTAGTTTTAGTAATTTAAAGTAGTATTTTAGACTTTTATATGCTCCTGTTAGTTTAGAACTTGAGAATTCTTCGGAACATTAACTTGGTGACTCTTTTATATATTTAATGTATTATTTTGTATTTTTTTTTAAAGATCTATTCATTCGTGTTTTATATTTCTGTTATTGTTGCTCGATAAATTGCATTTACATTTTATATTTTTGACATTTTCCTGTGTGCGATAACAATTATCGTTTTAAGGCGATCGAATGTTCTATATTTTATTAGATTTGTTATTTTGTTAGGTTTGTTATTTGAATTTCAGAATTGATTTCAGAAGTTCCTAATTTATATTTGTATTTATACCTTTTATTTATTTTGTGTTTAGGTTTTCATTTTCTGTTTATGTGCATTGTTCTCAGATTGACCTAATTATTAGAAATATTTTCATAATTTTTATCTGTGCTTGGAATTTTTCATAATATTACCCATATTATTTCTTATTTGCCAGCAATTTTTTAACAGGGAAGTTTTTGTTTTACATTTTTGATTTTTTAAAATTAATTTGCTCTTAAGTGGAAAATTTTTCATTTAGTCTAGGATTATTTTAAAATTTGTGTGTTGTATACATATAGAATGCATTAATTTTTTTTCCAGCAGTATTGGTTTAATGAGCAATTTTTTTCTTTCATCTGCGTAGTCAATTTTTTGAGTCGAGTTAATATTTTAGTAGTGCTTTTTTTAACGTACTGAAATGCCGAAACGGAAAAGAGGCATTACAGGAGATGCATCAAGAAGACGAAGAGCTGAAGCACAGAGTTTACGGCGAGCTGCAGAAAATGAAGAAGAAACTGCTGCGAGACTGAGCACGCAAGCGCGTCGGCAAGCAAACCTACGCGCTCAAGAAACGGAAGAAGAAACCGCTACGAGACTCGGCAGGAAAGCTCAACATCAAGAAAATTTACGTGCTGCAGAAACGGAACAAGAAACCATTAGGAGACTCAGCAGGCAATCCCAATGTCAAGAAAATTTGCGTGCTCAAGAAAGTGAAGAAGAAACCAGTAGGAGGCACAGACTGGACTCTCATCGTCATCGTCAAGTTCGAGCGGAAGAGTCGGAAGAGGACGCTGCTACACGAAGAACGCGAGACGCTGCACGCCACAGACAAGTCCTATCCGAAGAAACAATGTCCGTACGAGAAGACAGGCTACGCATGAATGCAGCACAACGTTCACGCAGCACTCTTCACAATGCAGGAAGATGTGGACTCGAAGTTTATGTTGAGCAACACAGCGCCGGTTCAATGGAAGCTTCCTGCGATCTCTGCAACGGATTGTTCTTTACGGGAGAAAGGAATGCAAGAGGAAGATACATGCACTGCTGTAACAATGGGAAAATTGTCGAAGCTGAAAGAAGATATCCAGAAGAATGGCACAATTTAATGAATGGGAACCACCCGTTTTCTGAAGAGTTTTTTGCCAACATACGTACTTACAACTGCCTGCTCAGTTTTGCTTCATTGGGTGCCAATATAGAAATGCCTTCGGGTTCGGGTCCCTACTGCTTCAGGATTCACGGTGCCATATATCATCGAACGAGCCACCTTCATCCGCCTCATCCCGGTCAAGAACAGTATGCTCAGCTGTACATTTTAGATTCGGATCAAGCCCTCAGGCAGAGAATGAACATATTTGGAAATGTTGCCCTGAACGCCGAACTCCTGAGACAGTTGGACACAGTTTTAAGGAACGTTAATCCATATGCGGAAGCCTACAAGATGCTGAAGGAATTCGAAGAAGAAGAAACTGTACGAGAGCAAGGTGCCGAAACTGCTGCGGATATCCGCATGTACATCAAGGGTGAAAGTGTTGCTGCAGGCGAGCACAGGGGACGTTACAATGCTCCGAAAGAAAATGAAGTTGCAGTCGTCTTCAAGAGTACGGACGGCGCTCCTCCATCGAAACCGAGACATCGTGATCCATCCGAGA